GGAAGCCCCTGGATCCCCATAAAATTGGGTCCCTAATCCATGAACTATTGGAACTAATTTACAAAACTTTTCTTAAACATTACATGAATATTTTGTCTCATACCATAGAATTAGAATTTTTAATCCCTATTCCATGATGAGATATCTTTGAGCTATAATGTATCTTAATTACAACTAACTTTAGATAGGTTTTTTCCTCAAAGTATTTTATCAAAAAAATCCGATTTAAATAAAAAAACTAATTTTTTTTAAATCATTGATTTTATCCACCCTGATCAAGATATCTCACAAGTAACTCACCCTTACTTGGATAATGTGACCACACTCCAACTTGAGCTTTTAGTTCTTTTATTAAATATATTTGCTGTGATATATAGATAATAAAAGAACAAATATCTTCTGCCTTATTTTTATAGAAATGTTGGGGGGGGGGAAATGAACTGAAGCCCAGAAATGAAAATTGTTGTATAGTATGTTATAAGCAAAATACCTTATAAAATATAAATACAATATATGAATCCATACCATATTACAACTCCCTCCCTAACTGGGGATCTATTATAGCACTATATTATCCAAGCAGTCGATTTATTTATCAATGTTATTAATAAAAATCTCATAGGTAGCACTGTAAGTTTACACAACATTGAAAATATTTTATGTACCTGTCATATATTGTTCAACACTTTAGATGAATCTTCACCATATGTAAGTGAAAAGATTTTCACTGTCAGATTGAAGTGGATTTAATGACACTTTCCAGCTCCACAGACTGCATTGCCTATATGAGGATGGTTTAAAAGAGAAGGTACTTTAAGCTGGGTTTTTCAAAGCAAAGAGGCATGCAAATCTTGTTGAATTGTAATGGGATTTGTGTGCCTAATTCCCTTAGACTCTCTTGAAAATCTCACCCCAATGTATAAAATGAAATTGCAATCCATTAGATTATAATGTCGTGTTCAAGTATCAGAAATGAATTTTGAGGCTCTCAGGATAGCCCTCTTTGTAGAATAATAGAGATTGGCTGCAGCAGGGTGATTTGATTTTTTTTTCTTTATTCAGTAATGTCAGTTATAAAGAGATCTGTTTTTATTTTATTTTTTCCCCATATGCCATAGAGTACTTATGTTAGATTCATAAAGATTTTAGCGCGATCATTTGTATTTATTGAAACATCTCTATTCTACACTCTGTTCTTATCTATTCTAGCTACATGAAGCTCATGTTGGTGCTGCCTTTCTCTGCTGTTTCTATTTGGATAAATGCTATAGCTTTTGTGGGAAGATTTTATCTACTTTTATTTCCTGACTTGAATCGGAGGCTGCAGAATCTGACTATGAGAGCTTATAGCATTAATTATTTCATTACATTACAGTAGTTGGAAAATACAGGCATATTTTCACATTTAATTAACATGATCAACCAGATGGAAAGCAAGCTTCATGGCAGATAAACTCGGCAAGGATGTTTTTCCAGTGTTTTAAGTCTTGTTTTAAAACACCTTCATCACCCATCCCTGTGCTATACAAAAAATAGAATTTTTGAATCTACTGATTTGCTTGGTTTGTGCTATTAAACATACAGCAGAAAACTGCTCCGGTTTTACATAGTGTAATTCTTGCTTTAGCCTGATGAGGAAGCACAATGATCTTGTTAAATGGTACGCATGAGATGCTTGGAAACAAACTCTGGTCAATTAAAACATTCATCATCTAGGCTGTCTGAAAGCTGCAATGGTACAGTTACTTGAACTAAAAATTCATTAACCTTCTCTTCAGTGAGCTTGATCATCTGCATTATAAATGACAAACATTTCTATTTGCAGGAAGTTATATACTCATCCAGCTTTCCTTTTAATATTGTCTAATGGAGTTAACATTTCGATAATAGAACTTTGAAGAGTGTAATCACAGAAGAACAGGAACCTTACTTTTCAGTGTTTACATAAATTGCAGTTTCCTTTTTATCACCATTTTTAAAAAATGATCTAAAATGCTGATTTTCTTTCTTGTCTTCCCAAGGAAGATACCGGGTGATTGAAGGTATCATTTCTCCGGTCAATGATAGCTATGGAAAGAAAGGCTTGGTTTCAGCAAGGCACCGGATAGCTATGGCTCAGCTTGCGCTGGAGACATCAGACTGGATTAGAGTGGATCCATGGGAGAGTGAACAGGAGAAGTGGACGGAAACTGTAAAGGTGCTAAGGTAATTGTGTTTATTTTTGTTCACGGAGTTGCCAGAGGCCACAACAGATCGCAAGGAGCAGCATTTGTCATGTCTGCATTTTAACAGGGCTACAATACAATGGAAAGGGCAAAGACCTCTGTATGTTCACTAGGACAAAGTACTAGTTGGGTAGGCCTTTTAGACCATTCAGCTAAGCTGAAACAAAGGGAAGTGATTCATCCTTGCCCAGAGAGATGAAAAGCCTCTTAAGGATTGTTCATATGTCATCTGCTTTGTGATAAGGATGCTAGGTCTGTGAGCAACGAACACTCATGAACTAAACTTTTTTCTCTGAGCAGGATTCTTACTTTGGAGTCTAGTGTTCCCTAGTGCAAGGCAGGTGGAGCTCCCCAAGCTTTCAGGCTTTAGTCTATAAGAGCAGTAGTATGGGGTTGTGGCGCAAGTCCCCCTACACACACCCTTACACTAGTGGTCACACACCATCCAGGACATTAGCTGCCACCATGGGAACCTTTCAGTGAATTCCTTCTTGATTAGAGTCATTGAAGGAGCTCCATGCCTAAGTCCATGCCTCTTCATGTGTTGCTCCAGTTCTTCAATACAATCAGCACTGATCCTGCTTTGGGGTCCTTTTCTGCTGTGTCCCTCCCATGCCTTCCAGTCAGGTCCAATTCTTTTTGCTGTTAAATTTGTTTTCTATGCCAAGACCCCAGTGGCCTCTGGGGCTGAACTTGGAGCAATCTAAAGTTCTGAGAATGGCTCTTTGTTTCGTTTAAGACAAATTCACTGGACACTGCCACCACTGATAGGAACATGTTACAGTGATATGCCAGTTGCATTTCACACTGCTATGATGTGGCTGGCCTGAACTCAATAATGATGTCAAGGCTTATTTGATCCAAGGTAGGATGGTTTCCTCTGCCTCAGGGCTGTTTCCATCTTACACAAAGCAGTTATGTAGTTCTCACTTCATAAGCTTGCAAAACACTGTTGCTTGGAGTCAGTCTGTGGGGAAGAATCCTACTCTGGTTGTTCAGTACTGCAGGGTGTAGGGGAGCCCAAACTCTCCCACCTGCTAGAATTTTAGTTAGCATGCCTCTTGAAAGCTGTCAAAAGGTGACGGGGTTTGGTGTGTATCTTACCTCTCTTTTATATTCTTCTCATTTCTTGGCCTCAGCCTTGTTCTTGCTTCCTGTTGCAGTTATTTATGGTTTCACATTTGATCTTTCTTCAATCTCTGAGACGGAGAATTCTTCCCAGGTGCTATAATAAAAGAAGATTACTGTGTAATTTTGCTTCTGTAAAGATATCTTTTTGGCAGGATTTCTTCAGGGTGGCCGTGGGAGATATCATTTTCTACTTAACCATGAACTGACTGGAAAGTTCCAGGAGAAGCTGGGGGTACGGGGAAGTGTGTGGTGTGAGACCACCAGTAGTAAAAATGACATGTGCCTCAGTGTACTACTGCTGACATTGGGGATTTAGAACTTGAGAGTCTGGGGAGTGTCCCCTGTCTCACATTAGGGAGCACAAGAGCCAGCTGTGAGATTCTGACCAGAATAATGCTTTCAGAGAAGCCAAACTACTAGATAAGTAATTCTTCCATGTTGGCCTTGATGACAGTTCTAAAGTCTGCCTGGCATGCTGGAAATTCAGATCTCTGGATTCTAGTAGAGTTGGGGGTGGGGGAGAAACAAGAAAGAAGCCAACAGTTAATCTAGAAATGTATTTTGAGAGGACTTTTACTAGATTTTTAAGCGATTGATTTTGGTGCATACAGCTGATTAAGGAACAAGTTTTCAGCCATGGTCTCTGAATTTTCATGGGCAAAATATCTGTATGCAAGCATCTCGTATGTATATGTTCACAGGTTAAAAATTGAGTGAGTTGTCTGAAAATTAAAGTACCTGTACGTGTTTAATCTACATGTTTCTGTGATGACATACCTACACAAGTTTAAGAATATTTATAATTTTCATTATTTAAAGATCTTATCCACCTAGGAGGATAGAGATTAAGACTATGAAAGCACTAAAACCTTTTGATGGTGGTCCTGATCTTCACTTTAAAAAAGGAATGCTATCAGTGTTCTAGGCCCAACATCTACTACTATTATTTACATACAGTGCCTATAAATGACACACACGCTTACCTATGATATCACTGTTCTCACATGCAGAGTGTGTCCCCTAAAGATGAAACCAATATCTGCCCTCCAAAACCAGAGCTTGAATGGTCTGATAACCAGATTATTGATTCTGAATGACCTATACATTCTGCCTCTTAGTCTTAAATTTTCAAAACCATAATTTTGGGTGCCTCATTTTTTAGATGTCTGACTTGAGACCCATTAAAGGGGACTGGTTTTCGATTGAGTGCTCAGGCCTCAAATTGGGCACCCCAAAATTGAGGCACACTGTGCAGACTCATCCCTGTGGTGCCTCCTGATGGTCGTATCAAGAATTAGCTCTCCAGCCTCCAGAGCACCCTCTGCAGGCCAGTGATCCGCCACAGCTGGCCCTCCCGGATGAACCCTTTCTCTGGGTGCTGCCCCCAGACAGTAACCCTACAGTCTCAGTGGGTCTCCCCTCCCCGGGGAGACCCCTCCCACTACCCCCCCACCTCACCTCAGTCTGGGCTACTGCCAGTCCTTACCTAGCCCCCACTCATTGGGGCAGACTGCAGTATAAAAGCCACTCATCACAGGCAAGGTGGGGTTGACCTGCTGCCTTCTTCTACTATCCAGTACCTCTATGGGCCTGGAACTAGGCTGGAGCTCCCCTGCTCCTCTGGCTCTTCCCCAGCCCTGCTTCACTCCCAGGTACCTTCTTACTCTCCTGCAACCAGGCCAGTCTCCCTCCACAGCTAGAGGAGAGACTCTGCTCTGCTTCTGGTTGCCCTGGCCTTCCTATGAGGCCCAGCTGCCCTGACTGGGATGTGGCCCAGGTGTAGCTCCTTCCCCAATCAGCTTGGGCTTTTTTTTTTTTTCCTAGCCCCTAGCCCTCTCCCAGGGCTGGCTTCTACACCCCGCTACACACACCAAATCACTAGTCACTCTAGAAAATTGTCCTTAATTTCTCCAGGTAAGTTTAAGAAATTAAGTAATATTAAACATGCATTGTTCTTAAGTCACATGGTCTAAATAGGTTAGGAACCATGTGGCTGTGAGAAATAGAGGAAAAAACTCTCCTTGCTAAGGCCCTTCTGGATGGATTAGTAC